GAATCACCTATATATGTATTAAGGGTTTCCTTGATTAAAAAAAAAAAAAGGTGAACATCTTAATTGTCACACAACAGACAAAAGTACAAAGATAGCTCTCTGTGCCTTGTTTTTCAGTGAAAAAAAGTATTTGATTCTGCTTTAAAGGCTATTCTTCTAAAAAGGAATCTCTCACGGATATTTGTAGCTCATATACTATTCCTTGATAAATGCTACCATAGAGATAACTCCTTTCAACAACTTTATTAGTAATGTTAAGTGAGGCATAAAGCAGGGAGATATATAATTGACAAAGGTGTTTCCCGCTGTTATGGGGGATGTCCTGCTGTAGGCATAACACATTTGATAGGGTGAACACCAAGAAAATTTTATTTAAATTTTTCAAAGGAAAATAGTTATTGAGTGTTTAATAATAAATAATATTATTTTTATTTTTCAAACTAAAAAACTTAATTTTTTTAAAAAATGTAAGTTAAACTTTACTAAAAAAAAACTTAAAAACTGGAACACAAAATAAAAACTTTTAAAATAGGGTGTGCTGGAGCACACTTGGCAAACACTCTGTATGCATGCCTCTGGATTCTGCACAGCATCTAAATGGGAGAGGGCTTCCTTAAAGATGGTGAGGAAATCCAGATTTTGTTTGTGGATGTTATTTTAATACTTTCAACATGCCCCAGAACATCATAAAGACCTCTCAATGGGATGCATAACAGCTTAAAGAAATCAGTTTAACAATCCATGCAGGAAAAAAAAAATGCCTGTTGCCCAGAATGACGTGAAATTAGAAGGACAGTTGGTAAATTACTACACTTATCTGGATAGTCACTGCAAATGGATAGTGAGCTGGGCTTGGAACTCAATAGAGAAAGTTGACTTGGTTGCATTTGGGAAATTGTATAGGACTATTAAGGACCATAACCTGGCCCCATTCCAAAGACCATTACAAAGTTTAAATGAAAAAGTTCCCACAGAGAGGCAATATGATTACAAGTTTTTGAATCTCATCCTCTCCAAAGAATCAAAAGTGAGAGTGGCCCAATCTGGTGAAAGCACAGGATAACCAAAGAACCCAAGGGTTCTACAAATATTAAAGACCTAGAGGAAGGCCAAAGGCCTCTAGCCCACTGAGTGGATCCAGGATCTGTGGAAGAACATGAGTAAGAGTCATCCAGGAACTGAAGGCATGGGTGGGCTGGAATGAGCACCCATAGAGGGAATGTTCACATCAGTGTGACCACAGATCCATGACAATATTAAAGACCACAAACAAAAATCTGACATTTACATATGGTCATATAAAAGTAGACATGTGAATATATTACTTGTGGCATCTTTTATAGCCTCTACATGTACATTTAGAGTCGTTTCACAAAAGTGACATGGCAGTACAATACGTGAACCAATAATATAAACTTGCTTGAATCTCTTCCCTATTTTTTATAAAACCTGTCCAAAAAAAAAATCCCTGATATACACTGTCTCTCTTTATAAATATAAAGCACTTATGTTTGTGGCCAAGTTTTAGTCACAAAACACTGAGCTGTTTAGCAGAAAAGTGCTATGTAAAGAAAATAAATTGAATTTTTCTCCTAAGTAGATGTATGTGTTTAGACACCAACACTTAGAAAATCAATTTTATATATATATATATATATATATATGTGATATGTGCAATATTTACATGGAGTGTTGGGACGAGGTGTGGACCCTAACGTATGGACAATGAAAGCCACTATTTAATTATAACTTTATAGAAATACATGTCTTTCTTCATGCCAGAACACTGCTTTCCATGACATGTAAGAATCATTTCATTTATCTTTTAAATTTGCCATAAATTCATTAGATCTTTGTATCTCCAGTACCTAGAAGAATAACTCACAAATGGCATTGAAAAAATGCTTCTTGATTAACTGATAAATCAGGTTTCGCAGGCAACAGAGAAGGTTCCAGGACTCCAAAGGGTAGTTATACACAAGAGACACAATTTTCAAACTTTGCCTAGGGTGAATAAAATGCCTCTGTGTGAACATATCTGCAAAAGATTTTCTGTATCTAACTTAATTCACACCTTAATACCCAAGATCTAGACTGCCAACTTTCAACTTATCAGCGGCTGAGGGCCCAGCTGATGGATTACCTAGTTCCCCTACTCTTCACATCACATTGTTTTTCAGCCACCTTCATTCACAAGTTGAAAATGGGTAAGAAAAGAAAAAAATATCAGATCAGTCTTTTTAACTGCCTATGACTACTATTAGCCAATTTGGAAAAAAAAATAATTGGGGAGGAGGAAGATGAAACACTAACTAAAATGAGTTTTTTGCTTTATCTGTGGATGTCTTTGATCTATGCTGTCCCTATCACCTATGTTCACAGATAACACAGAGAGCTGACTATATTCCGAAAAACTGAATAGTATCAGAGCTGTAATAAGGGCAGTCATGTTCCTTGGATGCACTAGGGTCAGGAACAGTAAGAATATGAAGCCTGTGACCTGTCTGCTAAAGGCTGACACTATTCAGGTAATAATTTATTGATTAGCCTTGCTCAGGGGAGAATTCTGTAAATAATTATGCCTGTGTGATTTGGGGAACACTGACAATTTCTGCTAAGGAGGAATCCATACCATAGTAGCATATGCCTTCTTATCACTGAACTTGGGGCCAGGAGCAAATAACTGATCAAGATGAACGCTAAGATTATAGGATGGCCCCACATAGTCATCAAATCCAAGGCCTATTTTCTGCTTTCACACATGATATCATCTAAAGCTTGGTTCAATGACAAAAAGGCACAAGCTAGTTTATAACAGAAGGGTAAGGTCATTCTGAAATTAGATCCATTCTTTCTGTTTTCTTTGAACCATACATGCCTTGAGTTGCAATATAGTTTTTCAATATCTTTTTAAAGCTTGTGTCCTTGCCAGAAGCAAAACCTGTGTTAACCCAACACCCCATGCAAGAGCTCACCATTGTTCCTTGGACATTCAGTAATGCACCACCCAAACGCCCCATGATGATGGTGGAAAAATCACAACAACACAACACAACAACAACAACAACAAGACTTGGCAAGAAAATTGGACAACACAGACAAGAGGATAGCTATCATGCACAGCAATGCAAGTGAGCACATGGTGCTAAGGAGGACATCCGTTCCTGCTGGCCTGTTAGCTTAGGGACCAAAAGGCTGCTGGGAGATCAAACCCCTTTCCTTCTTTGGGGGGAACTGGGTCCAGGGGCAGTAGAAGCAACATGAATGGGATTAGAATGTATGTATGTGAATATTGAAAAACAAATCCAAAATTCCAACCACTTCCCCCAACCCCCAAACAAAACAAAACACCATCAACAACAAAAATAAAAACAAAGCCCCTAAAATGGGGAAAAGAAAAACCCAGGTGAAGAGACAAGTGGCAGTTAGAGCTCTCTCAACATAAGTACAGAGAGAAGAGCTGTTCTGTTCCAGAAGCAAAGACCCTTCTGCTCAGATTTGGCTGCTGTGAGGGTTGAGAAACGTGAAGCCCGTGCCACCTGGCTTTTGTCATAAAACGTTTACGTGTGGCACATAGATGCTTCCAAATGACCGTTTGGCACCTCACACGACACCTACCAATCAAGCCTTTATTTGGAAGGGTCAAGATACAATTTTTTTTCCTTGTGGGGAGAAGTGGATAATTTTTTGTCCCCCTTGTGAAACTGGTGGCTGATCTCTGCTCTAGTGACTATGCTTTCCCATATGGCAAATGACCACTAATGCTTTTGGAAGAACAAAAACCCTCCCAAACTATGCAATTCCCCTGTTTCTTACTTTTATACCACGTATTTTCCTGTCAGGACCTTTCATTCGGATAAATTGTGGGTTCCTTTACGCTTATAAAAACTTAAGTTTACAATTCAGTTACCTTATTTCTAAAATACAAAGTCATTGGATTGTGATCAGATTTAACCTTTAAAAAAAAAGGCTCCCTCAGGATAACACAGTTACAAATGTGGTCAACTGTCCAAGGGACCCCCTCATTCAAGACTCAAAATGTCCAGTTGCATGCTTACTGTAGCCTATAGCTTTAAAATTTTGGCTAGCCATTGGACTAATGAAACAGATGCTCAGTTGGCTCCCACATACCTGCTGTTTTGTTGCCAGCCTTGTGCTGCCAGAGGGGAATGAGCCTGGGGCAAAAGTGTACTCTTTGAGGCTTGGGGGAGAGGAGCAGTGTTCAGTTAAAGCCGATGTCTAGCGTCACAGCATGGGCCTAAAGTCTGACCTTAAGACTGGTGGTGCCCAAAACTGGCACTTCTCCATACACTATTTTTTGATAGGATGGGTGGTCTGCTCAGGGTGAAAATCCCTGAGGCTTTCTGGTGGACCCTAAGGACGATTGCCTTAGGACCAGCCAGAAGGGTATTTTTGAAGGCCAGATCTGATTACTTCTGACTATATACTATAAATAGCCAGAGTAATATGGTGCACCTGTGGAGAATGAATGCTACTGATTGACTGGCAGAAGAATTTGCTTAATCCATATGACTAGATATATTTCTTGCGGCAGGTACTCTGCAAGGAGAGTCATTTCCCTTTCTAAAGATCTTTCTTTTTTCTTGCACAATTATCACAGAAACACAGAATTATACGGTCAGTAGGGAGCTTAAAGGACACCTAATTTTCAAGACTTTCATTTTACAGATAAAGAAATTGAGGACTTAAGAGGTGAAGTGACTTGCCCCAGGTTACATAATGTCTGGTGAGTGGAAGAATCCGAACTCAACTTTCCTAACTCAGTTCTTTCTACTACCCCACTCTCCCTTCAAAACAAAACAAAACAAAACACCCAACAAAAACCCCACAAAAATTAAGAGTTTCAGTTTTTCTACCATTTGAAGCATGTGTTCTTCCATCCCCAGTTACAGTTCACCCTTTTGTAGGTCATTTATGACTAATTATTTTCCCATGGTCAATATTGGGGAAGGCTGTCCACCAGAGCAGTAAATACTCACTGTTTATGGTACCTGCTAGTGCATTAATATTATTCAGTCCAACGGTGGCTCCAGCCAGTCCTTGCAGAGTTCCCAGAGAGGTCAAGGAATTCATGGCTGCACCAGCAGTGGAATTGGGAGTTGAAGCAGCCACTGGAAGGGAAAAAAGAAAAAAAGAGACAAAGAGAAGGAAATGGGATGGGAGGGTGGGGGAGAAGGTACAAGATTAATGATAATTAACCAGAAAGGAAAAACCATCAGTCATCATTACAGCAGATCATGTTGATGAGTCTTTAAATCGCAATATACAAGCACATAAAGATCGGTTTTACATTTCACAAGCAGAAAATATCTACAGGCCTAAGTATGGCAATTTAGGTATTTAGCCTTGATGATAAGAATACTTTAATACAACAGTGTTGTGAGGGGATAAAGACTGGGCCTATGATTTCACTGATATAGAAGGGTCACCTAAGCCTGTATGTATCAAAAGTCTTCCTAGCTCCAAGGCCAGCTCTCTATCTGCTATACCATGGCTATAAATACCAATGAAAAGGATCATTGCTGGTCAGTAAGAAAAGCACGTTAACACTGAACATGGGGAGGGATGAATCATGCATCAATCAGCAGGTGGGGAGGAGAATTTTCTCTTATTCCTAAGCTGTTCTGAGGGCTCCAGTTCTCTATTTCCAACTGCCTGCCCACTGGCACCTCATAAGTCAACATGTCCCAAACTGTACTCATCCACTTTCCTCAAAAATATGTCCCTTTCCCTAACTTCTCTGATACTATTGGTGGTACCATTACCATCCCAGTCACCTAGACTTATAACCTTATTCTCTTTATCGCTGCCTAATTAGTATCCTTCCCCTTACTACTGCATTCAATCCCACTGACTCTATTTCGACATGATCTCTTATAATAATCTCCTCCTTAGGATGTCATCTCTTCTAGCCTAAATTATTGGAACAGTTTCAAAATTGGTCTCCCTGACTTTAGCCTAACTCTTCTCCAACTCATCCTTTGTAACACTGCCTGAGTGGTATTCCTAATGTGCTGCTCAGATCCCATCACTCCTCCACTCAAAAACCTTCAGGGACTTCCCATTGCCTGATATATAAAATATACACTTGCCATTCAAAACCTTTCACAATCTGGCTCTATTATACCTTTCCAGCATCATATCCCATTCCTTTGCTTCACCTATTTTATTCTCCAGTCAAAGTGGAATATTTTCCTTTCCCTGCCTTGCCTTACTCATCTTCTTGGCTTTGTTCATATTATTCTATCCTTCCTGGAATAGATTCTCTTCTTTCACCCTGTTTTCTGGCATCTCCATCTTTGAAGTCCCTCTGAAGCCCAACTTAATTATCACCTCTCCCATGGAGCTTTCATATAGTACATATTCTAGACTTCTTCTTTGCACCCACTCTTATACAAGTCACTCACGTACATTATCCCCCCACATGAAATTCCTTCCTAGCTCCTCAAGAGTGGGACCGATGTATCTTCAGCACAATGCCCTGTAAACAGTAGGTGCTTAATGAGTGCTTGTTGAATAGCTTGATCAATTAAGCATCCTTACTATCCAAGTTTTTTTGGAAATTGGAATTTGGAATTTGGAAGGAATTAAAAGGCAATTGATTACATTCTTCTACAACTACCCCTTTATTCCTGACATTATATCAGTGCAGCTGTTGCAAAATGTTGTTCATGTCATTTAGTCATTTCAGTCATGTCCGACTCTTCATGACCCCATTTGGGGTTTTCTTGGCAGAGATACTGGAGTGGTTTGCCATTTCCTTCGTCAGCTCATTTTACAGATGATAAAACAGAGGTGGACAGGGTTAAGTGACTTGCCCAGGGCCACATATCTAGAAAATGTTGAATCTTCCTGATTCCAAGCTCAGTGCTCTATTCATTGCACCACCTTATGGGTGCAAGATAGAACCTTTGTACATAATGAGAATGGAGAGTGGTCTTGAATACTTTCTCCCTGAACTATGTATCCTTCACTGGAGGCCTCACTTAAATTTGAGAGAGTTCTCTGACAATCCTTAATCTGGGATCACCCCACCATCTGACATCCCCACTCATGTTCCTGGGCTGCTGAAGGAAGTCCACATGAGTGATGAACCAGGTGACAGGAAGATCTGAATTCAAATCCTTCCACAGACATGCATTAGGTGTGACCATGGACAAGTGTCTTAACCTCTCTGTGCCTCTGTGTCCCCAACTTCAAAATGAAGGGGTTGGTCTGTAAAATGAAGGAGACTGACAATGGCCTCTAAGGTCCCTTTGGCTCCCATCACACCCTTCTGTTCCAAACCTTCCAGGAGTTCTCCATTGTTTCTTGGATAAAATACTGACTCCCCAGCCTGGAATATAGCCTTCCACAACTTCCTTCTACCTACCTTTCCAGCCTTATTTCATACAACTTCCCTTCATATACCCTGTATCACAGTCAAACTGGGTGACCAGCTATTTGTCAAACTTCACATTCTATCTAATACTGCTATGCATTTGCACAAGAGAGCCCCTGTGACTGCAATATACTTTCTTCTCACCTTTGCCTCTTAGAATCCTTCTCCTTCAAGGCTAAGCCTATGTGACACCTCCTTTGTTTAAAGGCTTTCCTGATACCTCCAAGTTGTTAGTGTTCTAATAGGAAAGGAGATTGCTATGGCTATCTGGAGAAGTAAATGATTTCTTTTGAGACTGTGTTGTGGGTATTTTAAGCTCATGTTTTAATATAAAGTGTCTTTAATATTCATTCACTGTCTGTCCTTTACCTCTGGTGATGTATCCTGTATAAGTTGCTTATTTCTTATTAGCAAAACTTTCAATGACCCAAAATAGTCTCTGGCCCAGGCAGTCTGGATAACCCACTCTTCACATAACTGAGTCTATATTAGCAGCAGAGCTTTCTGTGACCCTCTCTGGAGTGCTGAAGGAGAGCAGGTTTGACTAAGGGGGTCCAGAATTAATGGAAATTCTACCTGGAAAAGATGATTCCTGATTTTACAAAGAATATAATAGAAAGGTTGAACAGCAAGGAACTTAATTAACAATACCTCAAAGATTTAACAAATCCTCTAATGCTTATCTGATGGATTTCCACAGGAGCAACCCTAGAGATGATTACAGGCATACTCCCAACTTTATTAAGTGGTATCGTGAAAATGTGACATTGGGTAAAAGGACATCAGGGGGTGGGGGAGGGGAGGTAGTTTCATAGGAACAATGTCACACCTACAGGTTAGTGGCCAAATGATGTTAAAGCATGATTTTATAACTTTAAACAATGCTTTATCATATATCAACAATGTCATCCATCAGGGTAACTTTATGGAGAGGATGCCTGTACCCAAATCTAAAAGAAGATGGCCATTAAAAAAGAAAAGAAAAATCAGCTTGCCTCCTCCATGTTAGTAGAGTAATTAAAAGAGTAATCCTCTTATTTTAGCAAGGTTCCTGGCACATGGTAAACAATAAATGTTCACTAGCTCTGCCTGCCTATCACATTTCCTGGGTGAGTGACTATTTGAAAGGCCTGAATTATACCTAAGCATTATAATCAGTGGATCTCTGTGGTACACTCAGTTACTGTAGACCCATGCTGTCAAACTCAAATAGAAACAGGGGCCACTAATCCCTACATAAGGATTTCTGCTTGGCTTAAAATGTAATGTTATCTATGTTTTATTGTATTTATATTTATTTTGTGAAATATTTCCCAATTACATTTTAATCTGGTTCAGCCTGCACTCAAGGGTGTCGTGACCCTTGGGCAGCACTTTTATCGTCGACTACCTGCTCCCTCCTTCTCCTTGTACTTACCATCTTTGATGACTATTTGACTGGAATCATGGTCTTCTAGAAATGGTGTTTGGAGGGAAAGGAGGAAGAAAGAAGGTGATGAAAGGTTCTTAAATAGCATCAGACTCTGCTCAGCACTCTCAAGGTAGAATTCAGAGCATCCAGCAATATCTATTTCTGTGTGTCCCAATTTTTCTTCTTTGGGATGGCTAGAAACCTCATTTAGCCTTCAGTTGGTTCATCCTTTACATTTTGAACCTCTTGGATCATTTGGATGTGTGGCTTCCTCACACGTTACCTATGGTCTGGCCTAGAGGCATGTGCCTACCCATATTAGGCTAGCTCTGAAGCAATTCCAGGGCCTTCACAGTGGGGTCAGGTTATTTTAACACTCATCTGGGACTCTAGAATAACTCACTTGTGTCAGAGAAAGTTCCCCCGGCTCTGCTGCCATTTACACTAATGATAGGAGAAATGTGACTTGTTGCTAGTGAGTGGAGATTTCCTATTGATTGCTTCTGATTGTCCCCGGGATGAAACCTGACCAAATACTGACAGATGTCATGAACTGGCTTCTTCTTGGTCCCCTCCTGGCACCAGCAAAAAAAAAAAAAAAAAAAAAAACAAGTAAAAAGTGCTCAGCTGAAGAATAGCCTGCCTAATAGCTGGTAATGTCACCTTGTTCCTGGAAAGCCCGAGGACTGACCTCTAACATGGCTAGAAATCTCTCTCATCATGTTGCCATTCTGCCTGCATTTTCTGTAATTGCTGGAGACACAGAAACACACAAAATGGGCTTAATGACTTAGCCTCCATGACTTGCATTTCTGTAGCATCCAGTTCCTTCTCGCAGAATTCATTACTTTTTCAGTCTGCACTGAAATTTTTCTTATCTCACTTTGTAAGCAGGTCATTCTATGTCCAACCCCAGGAGAACAGTGGGAGTGAGACGGGCTGGTGTGAATGAGAAAAGATGGGAAAAAATCTCCCAGTTGGGCCCATGACTGGTAAAAGTAAGTGCATGACAGAAGTACCTATAGCATACTGGACAAGGCACTGAACTTCCAAGATGGAGACTTGGTTTCAAATTCTACCTCAGATACTTTCTAGCTGTATGACCTTAGATAAATCATTTAACCACTCTGTGCCTCAGTTTCCTCATCTGTAAAATGAGGAGATTGGACTCAGTGGTCTTTTAGTTCCTTTCCAGCTCTTCTTCTATGATCCTATGATGTCCCTGGAGCTTATATAAAACCCCAGGTGGACCTCAGGCATAAATAAAGAAAAGAATCCCTTATTTTTGACTCCTTATTAAAAACAGAAGTCAATTATAA